TTAATAGATACCCTTTATCAGGCTGAGGAATTTCGTTTCTGTTTCCACTGTTCTATGAGTTTTATCATGAATAGATGTTTACTTTTGCCCAACACTTTCCTACATTTCTTGATAATCATTTGTGGCGTTTTTGGTCTGTTAATAAATTGATTTTTCAACATTCCTGGAATGAACTTGGTCTTGACAACTTGATCTCTTTTCTGTGTGCTAGATTCAGTATCTTAATTTTTGTTCAGGATTTTGCAGCTGAGTTTCTGAGGGATTTTGATTTATATTTTTCTTATAATGTCTGTCTAGGTTTAGTGTCCAGGGGTTGCTGGACTCATACAAATGAGCTGTGTGTTGTTCCTTCCTTTTCTATTTTGTGTAAGAGTTTGTGTAGAATTGGTATTATTCCTTAAATGTTTGGTGGCATTCACTACTGACGCCTTCTGGGCCTGTAGATTTCCTTATAGGAAGGTTTTTAACTGAATTCAATGTCTTTAATAGAAAAAGGGTATTCAGGTTATCTTCTTGAGCAAAGTTTGGTAGTTTGCGGTTGCCATGAAATGTTTCCATTTAATCTAACTTGTTGAATCTGTTACAGTGATGTTCATAATATCCCTTTGTTATCCTTCCAATGTCTATAGGATCTGTAATGATGACTTCTTTTCATTCCTTAGGCTTGCAGTTTTTAACTTTCATTCTTGGTCAGTCTGGGTAGACTTTACTGATAACATTGATCTAGTCAGGGAATCAGCTTTTGGTTTCATCAATTTTCTTTTTATTTTTTTTAAGATTTTATTTATTTGTCAGGGACAGAGGAGAGGGAGAGGGAGAGAGAGGGGCAGGCAGAGAGAGAAGCAGGCTCCCCGCTGAGCAGGGAGCCCGACATGGGACTCAATCCCAGGACCCTGGGATGGTGACCTGAGCGGAAGGCAGACGCTAAACTGACTGAACCATCCAGGCGTCCCTGATTTTATTTTTCTGTTTTCTATTTCATTGGTATCTGTTTTCATTATCCTGTTTGCCTTTGCTAGTTTCTTAAGGTAGAAACTTAGATCATTGATTTGAGACCTCTCTTTTCTAATATAGGCATTTAATGTTACAAATTTTGCTCTAAACACTGTTTTAGCTTTGTCTCACAAATTTTTATATGTTATGTTTGAATTTTTGAGTTTGAGATATTTTCTGATGTTTAACTAATTACACAATGATTCCTAAAGATTTCTTTGATTCATGGATTTTTAAGTTTTTGTGTGTTTTTTTGTTTTGTTTTTTAAATGTTTGTGGTTTTTCCAGGTAACTTCTTATTTTGGTTTCTAATTTTGATACTGCTGTGGTCAGACTGTATATGTAGTATGATTTTAATCCTCAAATTTGATACTTCTTTTATGCCACAGAATATGGTCTGCTTTGGTGAACATTCCATGACTATTTGAAAAGAATGTGTATTCTGCTATTGTTGGGTGAATTGCTCTGTATGTGTTGGGTAGATCAAAGTGGTTGCTAATATTTTTCAGGTTTTCTGTATCCTTACTGATTCTGTGTCTAGTTTTATCAGTTATGGGGAGAGGACTATTGAAATCTTTCATGGTAATTTAAAAAATTATATTCTTTTAAATTAAATGATAGTAGATGGTTATGATGTTAGATGACTGAGAGCTGTAAAGGCTAAATTAAAAAAATATTTTAGGGGAATGTTTTCTTCTTAATATGCATTGGGTTCCCATAGACTTGTTTTCCATTGCCAGTCCTGTTGCTTACTACCTCAGCAACACTGCTGAGCTTATTCTTTGGATACAGGTAATACAAACTTCTTGTAGCTATTGTGGAGATTAAATTAATAATACATAGAATTCTCTAGTGTCTGATCTCCAGTGGACAGGAACTCTTGAATACATAGAAATTATTTTTGTATTTTTTTAACTTGCAAGTAAAGATATCAAATATCTATTTTAATCTTGGATGCATTGCATTTGTTTTTTTGTTTGGTTTTTTTTTTTTTTTTTTTTTTTTTTTTAATTTCACCCTTGGCCTGCACCAGGTTTTCTCTTTGTGTATCTTTTTCCTGTTGCTTTTATTAGAGCCTTAATTGAGCATAGCATGCCTTGATTGTGTTGTGAAAAGGATTTTTTTCTTGTCCTAATTTTGCTCACTTTACAATAAAGTATGAAAAAGGTAAGAGTGTTGGTACAACAGATACACTTGCAGCAGCTGTAAAATCATCCCACATTACTTCGCTGTCTGAAAGTCGATGTGTTTTTCTTTTCTTTCAGATAAATCGAGAAAGCTGGTGTACGATAAAGCCGTGCCCCGATACAGCACCTCTTTTGGCCCCCACAGAGAGCCCAGGTGAGTAGGGGTCTTCCAACTTCCAGGTGCTTGAATAACTGTGACTTAAATCTCCATTTTTTACACTGCAGTCCCCATCTGATTACAGACCTCTTTTGGAGTACTGTCCTTCCTTGCTGTGCCGTGCAGTAAATCAGAAGAGAGGGGTATGTGTGATTTGGTTTGTAGGCATTTTGTCTCAACTGAGAATATGGAGTGTCCTAGAATTAACCTAAATTTCATGTGAATCATGTGAATCTTCACATGTGGCTTTCTGACTCATCACTTCTGTGAAGGCATCTGTGCTGGGCACATACATAGGATCGTGGTTTCTCAGTCTGATAAAACTATACATATTTATTGAGAACTAATCCTGTGGCTCTCCATTTTGGCTGCACATCGAAGTTATCTGGGGAGATATAGAAATACACCGCTGCCTACGTCCTGCTCGCAGAAGTTGTGGTTTAATGGGGCCTAGGCTGTGAGCTGGACCTCAGAATCTTTGAAAGCTCCTTTGGTGACTCCACTGCAGAGCCAGGATTGAGAACCCTAAACTTTGGAAGTATTGTCCCAATGGAGCCTTTCCTTAAACACTCATGAGGTGTTAGTAACAACAGGTGAGGGTCAGCTGCTAAGCCCTGGCTTGTTAATGACTTAATGACATAGCGTATGACCTGTGGGTAGTTAAGATGCCCATCTTTTCCCCCAGATTTAGCCACTAATTCACGGTGATGTAAGGAAAGTTCCCTAATGTCTGTGCACTCTATTGTCTCCCATCTCTCAAGAGTTACTAGCTCTCAGTGGGGCGTGTTGCCTGAATGACATGGTGCGTAACTGTAAGTCCCTGGGCCTGTTGTGAGTGCTGGTAATTTGTACCCTGGGCTCTTGAGTCGGCTTGAATCAGCAACACCTCTGTTTACCTTTATAGGTTTTACTGACCTGCTTTAAAATTTGTTGAATCCTCACTGACTGGTAGTTGTGGATGTCCTGCGGTAGTATTAAATCGAAAGACAAACTTACCAAATCCTGTATCTCCCAAGAGCTTTCCTACTGATTCTCAACTCTTCGACTTCATTCCGAAGGAAGTGTTAGAGACCGAAATGAAAAGTGTTCTTCCCTAGTTTTGTCTCACATGGAGGATATTATGCTGAAGTTGTGTGTGTTTAGGGTCCCGGCATGCTGTGAGATTGACCCTGTTCATGGATTTAGCTGACACTTACACCCCGCCCAGGCCCCTAGAATCTTCTCCTTAAAAGTGTACTACTTACTGTATCTTGGTTCCTTGAGCTGTTCAGGGTCTTTTCTGAAAGTACAATGACGCCCAACCCTGCACGCAGTGAAACTAAGTTTCTCCTCATGCTGGAGTTCAATTTACTCATTTAAAGAAATGAATTTTGAACCCCTGAGCATTTTCCCCAGGACGTCCTCTTGGATTTTGTTGACAGTGTCCGCTCCATACTCCAGCCCCAAGCATAACTACTTTGGTGTTTTTAGAGTGGGTCTTTTTAACTCTGCGTGTAACAGCATCCAAGATCTGGATTTTGCTTTGGAGCTTCAGACCTGAGTTTTTGATTTTAGCAAATTTTGGGGTGAGTTCTAAGCCCTTTGGATCTTGGAGGTTTCATTTATGTTATGAACACAGCTCAAGAGAGCAATAGTTTAAAACCAAGGAGGATAACTTTGGATATTCCTCCATTATGGATAAATACAGATTTATTTATTTAAGTACAAATAAATACCAGTGCATCCTGAGTAGCATGGTTTCAGCAAATCCCAGTGGGCACTGCTGGTGGTTTTTCTTGTCTTTCATGGCCTGCTATAATTTGTTTGCATATATATAATTTTAGACCCAAATGACTAGACAGCATCTTAAAAATGACACGTTTTCCTAGCTTTTAAAGAAGTTAATGTCTCAGGACACAAAAGTTTATAGGTAGGTTTATATACGAGTCATAAAACAGGACTGACCCACGTCAGGGTAATGTCCCTACCAGATACTTGCACAGCGTAGGTTAATAACGAAGGCTCGACTTCATTAGGTGTGTTTGTCACACACCTGCTGTGTGCAAGGGGCAGGGCTCTGGTTACCGTTTTCATAAATTCTTTCTAACAGTCTCTACAGCTGTTTTAGGGAAGCTCTGATCATCCCATTTCACTGGTGTGAAAATGAAGGCTTAAGGGTTAAATGACTTGTTGCCTGGGATTTTTCTGCTAAAAGTCAGTGGAGGGAGATTCAAGCCAAACAGGACCAACTCTAAAATCAGTCAGTGCTCAGTGTTCTTGCTTCTACCTGCATGTGTTGCTCCCCCTTATTCTTTAGGAAGAGGGCCGGTAGGAAGGCCTGTGACACAAGGTGGGAATTAGCTTTGCCTTTTGTGGGGTTTCGTGATGGCTTAGGGTCTTTTTCTCCCCCTTGCTCCCTGTTTGCTTACTCTTCTCCCCCCACTGCCGGCCTCCAGCTCAACAGTTAGGATTGTATCACACAGCGGAGTCATCCTCCAGCTTGATTTGCTGGCCCAGATTTATTTTCTGGGTGAGTTCTTCCTACTAGGGCTGAATCTGGATCTTCCCTGTGAATTTTCCATCAGAACGTCTTGAATTGGTTTGTTTTCCAGTCTGGACTTGGGACGTGGTCTGTTTGCCTGCCAGCTGGAGACCAGCAGCTCAGCGTAGTTGCTGTGACAGCCCTTTCTTTTCTTGGCCAGCCCCTGTTTTCCCTTCAACCATGAAATGGAGTTTTTGATTTTTCCAAGTGGGGAAAGGGGGAGAAGTAGAAAGGTCACACACACCAACTCCACCTAAGTGAGCACATACTCTCCGAAGTAGGTGGCGGGAGGGGTGGTCCAGAATACCCATGATTTCCAGTCTTTTAAAGGCAGGGCTATTCCCATTGAATGAAACACTCAGAAATAGTTTGGACCAACCGAGATTGAAATAGATGAGGGTCTTTTTTTTTTCCTTTAATGAAACATTTTCAGATTAATCTGTGGGCCCCGCCTCACTCCCGGTGGCATCCTTTGTGTACTTCTGTGTTGGAACTGTCTCTTCATATGTCTGCTTCTATTACAAGATTGTAAACTACCCCACACACATACACAGACTAAATATCTCTTTTTATATGGATAATCCCCAATACCTAGTCAAATACTGACTGACAGAGGAGGTAATTTTATGGTCAGGCAGTTCATGACCTGTATACCAGTACAGTGCTTCTTTGATCCTTCCTCTAAGATTCCCAGCTAATACAGCGCAAAAAATTTATTAATGATCAATAATTAGCTAATTCAGATAAGAAGAAACTTTCTTTTCTCATCCTGCAGTGTGCACACACACATGCGCGCTCTCTCTCTCACACACACACACACACACACACACACGTACAATTACTGTCCAAACATAGACCCTGAGAATTTAGGGAGACATTGGGGGTTGTCTAATCTCCACTTCCCCTTCTGTGTATGCATCTTTTCTGAAACCTCTTGACAAAGTCGTTCAGCCTTTGCTCCACCCCTTCTGGTGAAGTGACGGGTTACTTTCTGAAACTCCCAACCCATTGCCCAGAAGCCTACTTCTAGCAAAGCTCCGTGGCTTCCACACGGCAGGCTTTTTGTTCTGCCTCTGGAACAGCACACAGCACATCTGCAGCTGCCCTTAGACACATTTTCTTCAAGCTCCTGGGCAAGCCACGTGGTTCTCGAGTGTTTCCACTGTTGTGACCTCATCACCATGCATGCATTTCTGTTTATCAGTGTTTGACTTTAAGTGTTACCTAGGGACAGACATCATCCTGTGGGTGCAGTCTAGCTGTCTCATAATGGTAGGACTGTCCCCATTTTGGACTTGGGTACACTGTCTATTAATAGAGTCTAAAGCCATCGGTATTTTTTGTTTTGCTGTCACCTTATATCATCAGCCCCTCTTGAATCTGCTTTTAACCAAAACCTCCAGGTGGCGTGTTCACGAACTGGTAGCCTTCTGATCTGTTGTGTCCCTCATCGCTTAGTATCACCTGCAGAGTTGATATATGTCTGTCTGAATCCCATATAAAAATGCTAACTGAAATGGAAATGCTTCACTCCCCACACTTCTTGAAGGAGGTTGATATCTACCCACTAGCTGACTTTCTTTGGGCTCCTGCTTTTACTGCATACAAATATTTTTAGTTCTTTTGCTTCCAGGTCTTATGTCCCTTTTGTTTACAGAATTAATAGAAGAAAGTGCGTTAAATACGTTGCTAATTTCAGTGTACTAAGTGTTTAGAATTCCTTGACCTACAGCATAATGTTTCTGCCAGGGCCCCCTCTGTCTGATTCACCAGTGTCCCTAGGATAGTTTCTCAACTGAAGACAGATTCTAGATGATACATTTCTCTTTAGTGCATTATTCCCCCAGTGTCAGGTCTGTTTAAGGTAGAAGCTAAACAATTATATTTCTTTTATTATTCAATAGAACCCATAAGTGCAATATACTGACGTTTGTATTAGATATGCTTCCCCTCCTTTATTAATCCTAGTATTGGCTGGATAACAAGTTTCCAGAAAGAACTTAAGTCTTAGAAATTTGGCCATAAACCCTATCACATAGTTTCCTAATAAAGGACATCTGATTTTAGTAGCAAAAGAAAATATTTTTTAACTACCAAGAGGAAAAGATTACCGCTTAAATACCTAAATATAGATGGAATTCTGGTTCTACGTTGCCATTTTATCTTTTGGTGCCTTTGGTTTACATGGCAAACTCATGGTTGTCTTATAGTAACAATCACCCTAGAATTGGGATACTAGAGTTAAAAAGTTACTAATCTGACCATGTCCTTTACAGCTGCTTAATACTGGAAGGAGGGGACAGTAGTTGGTTGACTTACAAGGCGAATTGCTGCAATGAAAAGGTATTGGCTGAATATATTTTCTTCCTCAGAATGTGAGAACTTCCTGGATGTTGGACTGGGCAGAGAGTGTGCCTCAAAACAAGGAGTCCTCAAAAGAGAATCCGGCAGTGACTCTGACCTCTTTCACTCACCCAGCGAAGAAGTGGACAGCATCATCTTCCCCAAGGTACTGTCCGCCTCAGTATGCGACTCCTGCCGACCGTACCGAGCATCTCCAGCTCTGTGTGATCCTGGAGAAGAAAGCGTCCTCCCTTCCAGAGAAGGGAGCTCCAGGTGTCCGAGGCTTAGAAAAAGGCATCAGCCACTTTATCCTCTGTAGTGTTGTGGCTGGTTACACGCAGGCTTTGAAGCCTAACGACATGGGAGTTCCTTTGGTGTGAATTAAATCAGAGGAAGGTGAATGCTTTTCAGTGGGCAGGAAGGGACCGCAGCTCAGACTGTAACACGTCATGTGTATAAACTAACCGTAGAGGCATTTCTGATTAATGTGTTTAGGCCTGAAGCTCGTTGCCCAGCTTGGTGATGTCACCCCTCCTCATCTAGCCTGCTTAATTGGAACTTTCTAGATCTCTGCTGGGGAACCCAGACTGTCTTCTCCCAGTGAAGAGCCAGACCCATGCACATGAGTCACCGTGTGTTTTCATATCATCTGAGGCTCTCCAAGGGGTTGGGGGGTGGGGGCGGTTTGCTTTCTTTTGCTTATGTTTGTATCTAGTAGCAGCGAGTTCTGTTTTGTCTCCTGAGAAGCAGAATAGCGGGCTTTCCCACAGCACGATCCACAGTGGTGCTCAGTCACACGCCACACGTGGTGGTCTTAATCTCGAGGGGGTGAGGGGGCAGAAACACAGCAGCTGTGAGCACGCCTTTGTGAAGCTGTCCCTTAAGTTATGGGAGAGGCTTGGCATCCTGGGATCCTGGGCTAGTGCATATTTAAAGCCTCTGTAAATGTCCCCTCAGACACTTTCTTTTCACTTGTCCAGTGGCTCTCATGTGCCCATTTGGCCTCCCCTAATTCTTTTCCACCATGTTCCTTTTCCTTGTCCTCACTGTCTTCCGGGAGGGTCCTTGGAAAAATTCACACAACTTCAGGATTTCTGTCATTGTTACTCACAGCAGATTGATTCAGTGGGTTCTGTAAAGTAAAAAAATCTGCACCCTGGGATGATCTCTCCTCCTTTGAGGTGATCTAGAAAGAGGGAAATCATGATTTTTTTTTTTTTTAAATAATAGAATTTGGGTAATTTCCACTGTGACTTTGAGATTTTCATTGTAAGGACTTTTGAACCATCCCCCACTGCCAAGAGGAATGCCATTCTGAAGGGGGATGTCTCTCAGAATATTTTATTTGTGTCTCAGATAAACAGATGATATCTCTTAGTTCCCGCTTCAAAATCGAATCACGGACAGTCACAGAAACTGGGTCATGAATACCCGGGGATTTGTTAAACATTTTTGTGTGTCTGAAATTTTTCATAGTCAAAAGGTGTTTTAAAATTGCGGAGTCATGGGGCGCCTACATGGCTCAGTGGGTTAAAGCCTCTGCCTTCGGCTCAGGTCATGATCCCGGGGTCCTGGGATCGAGCCCCACATCGGGCTCTCTGCTCAGCAGGGAGCCTGCTTCCCCCTCTCTCTCTGCCTACTTATGGTCTCTCTCTCTGTCAAATTAAAAAAATAAATAAAATTGCGGAGTCTTCATTAAGAAAGACTTGCTTGCTCCCTCCTAGGTGCGTGACAGTTCGTCCCTGGACGCTGCCATGTCTGCAGAATGGTAGTGATCTCTGCTCGCTAAACCCAGTGATTTTCCTAGCTAAAGAGAATTCCAGTTTCCTGTGTTTTGCATCCTTACTCAAACTGCCAAAAACGTTGAGGAGATTGTTCAGACGAATGGCTGGTGCTAGATTGGGCAGTTTTTTCAAGATGACTAGACGGATAGAATTGTTAAGAGTTGGAGCATACTCCCCAGAGCAACTTCTACCCACATTTTGTACCGCAGTGGCTCAGAAAAACCAGAAACGGTGGGTGCACCGGCATCTCTTTGTGCGAGCACGAGAATGTCGCATGGCCTGGGGCGAGATCTGGAGGGTTCTTCCTCTTAGCTCTTTCCACTTTCCCAAAGTTGGTTGTGACCAGGAGAGGTTTTGCAATAAGAGTTTTCTCTAGCATTCCTAAAGCTAAGGGGTTGCATATGAAAGGAAAAGGGGAGAGCGGAGAGCAAGAGAGAGACAGGCTAATACTTAACAAAGTGGTTACTGTGTACTCAACACTGACCCGAATTTCTTATAATGTATGTGATCTCATTTCGAGCTCCCCACAACCCTGTGAGGTGGGTGGTTTTATCCTCATTAAACTCCTGAGGGAATGCGGGCTCTGACTGGTAGAGAGGTGTCGTCCAGATTACTCAGCTGGTAAGTCACAGTCCTGAGATCGTATGTAGGCCTGATTCTCAGATCTCTTCTCTGTCTCGATCTCCAGACACCTGCTTTAATAGCCAGTGATTTATACAGAAGCAGGGTGGTGTCCCTCCCCGGCTGCCTCAGTGGACAGCCACACAGCGTGTGCTGTGAAACATCACCCTGTCCTGGAGTGCCTTCCCCTCTCCCGTCTCTAAAAAATCATCTCTGGGCAAGGCATACAACATTCTTCTCTATGAACCATGAGTAGTGCGTTAGGTCACTTCCTACAGCCGTGTGTGTGTGTGTGTGTGTGTGTGTGTGTGTGAGAGAGAGAGAGAGAGAGAGAGAGAGAGAGAAACACACACACACACACACACACACACACACACACACTCTGGCCTCATAGAGGTCTCTTCAGCCTGCAGTGTTGGTCACAAACCCTTTGCCTTACCCTTCAGTTTCCATCCAGCCTGCCTTCCAGTAAATATGACTCGGGTGAGAGGAGCTTTCTGATTACTCTTCTGAATATATGCTAGTTCTAAGGTCGTCTTCTTCTCCATAGATCAACTGCATAAAATTTAGATTTTTTTTTTTTTAAGATTTTATTTATTTACTTGAGAGAGAGCAGACGAGTTGGGCGGAGAGGGAGAAGCAGGCTTCACCGCTGAGCAGGGAGGCCAATGCAGGGCTCGATCCCAGGACCCCAAGATCATGACCTGAGGTGAAAGCAGACACTTAACCAATTGAGCCACCCCAGGCGCCCCTAGGTTATGTTTTTAAAATAGGAAGAAATCTTGGACTTTATCTTGGCACTAGCAAAGAAAAAGTGATCATAAAATACATAATCTCGGCTACCCTTTATCCAAAAGGTTAATTGAAGTCCACGAAAGTATTCATAGTCGCTCTTTACCCAAGGAGAATTAGATAAAACGCTCACACCTTGTTTTTTTCTCCAGGCTGTAAAATGTATCCACAATTGAGAAAATCAGAGTAACTCCCCTAAGATGCTAAGTCTTAAGGAAGCACACTTCCTTTCTTACGCTAGTTTGCTCTCAAGTACTTGGTCACCAAGTCAAAAAGCTTTAGCCTTTCAGGGATAAAAGTAGCTGTATTTACAGAACCCAAATTCAAAAAACTTTATTATTTATGCACAAGTATTGAAACTTATTATAATTTCAGAACTGTGAAGCAGCTCGCTATCACATGCTTAAGATTCTTAGACAAATTATTGCACACAAATGGATTAAACAGTTGGCACATATTAGGTATTTAAAACATGAGCTGTTATTTGCCAAAGGCACATGACAGAATGCCCTGAGTATCACAGACAACAATTTATAAATATTTAATGAATAAGTTATTAAAAATTAAAGGACTGGTATTTTAGCAATATTAAACATTCCTTCGGGTATGGTAATAGAAAGTGTGTAGTTGTTTCTATATTTATATATATATATATTATATATAATGTTTACCCTTCTCTCTATACCTATACATTACCAATCTGATGTGATTCTTGGTTAAGAGAGCCAGTCAGGCATTTTCCCCCAACATTTTATTGAGAAAATGCTGCAGCATCCAGGGAAGAGGGAAGAGCTGTGCAGTGAGCACCCACCACCTGGATTCCACCATTAACGTCATACCCTTGCTTTGTTACACACCTGTGCAACTGTCCTTCCTTTCTCTACTCACCAGTTGGTGCATCTAATTTCTTTAATGCATTTTTTTTATTAATTTTTTTTAAGGATTTTATTTATTTATTTGACAGAGATCACAGGTAGGTAGAGAGGCAGGCAGAGAGAGAGAGAGAGAGGTGGGGAAGCATGCTTCCTGCTGAGCAGAGAGCCCAATGCGGGGCTCGATCCCTGAACCCCGGGATCATGACCTGAGACGAAGGCAGAGGCTTTAACCCACTGAGCCACCCAGGTGCCCCTCTTTAATGCATTTTTAAGCAAGTTACAGGTAACAATCCACTTTTACCCCTAAATACTTAGAATTCAGTAATAGAGTTGTTTTTTGTTTGTTTGTTATAATTTCTCCACGCAGTGAAACGCACAGTTCAGTGACTTTTCCCTCGGCTTTATGAGTTATAGCGGATAAAAATTGTGCATATTTAAATGTACAAGAAGATGCTTTGATAGACAAGTTGTGAAATGCTTACCACAATCAGGCCGGAAGTGTCTGTCACCTCACAGAGTTACCTCTTTGTGCAGGTGGTAAGAACACGTGAGATTCACTGTCCTAGCAGACTTCAGGTCCACAGTGTATCATTAGCAACTGTGGTCGTCATGCTGTCCATTGGGTCTTCAGAATTGATTCATCTCCTGACTGAGAGCTTGGTCCCTTCAACCAACATCTCCCCATTTCCCCCACCCTCTGGGGAAGCCCTGTTCTACTCTGTTGCTCAGAGTTGCCATTTGTGGTTTCCATATAGAAGTGACATCATGTAAAAGTTGTCTTTGGCTTATTTCACGTAGCGTGATGCCCTCAGGGTCCATCCATGTTGTTCCAAATGGCGGGGTTTCCTTCTTCTTCTTCTTCTTCTTCTTCTTCTTCTTCTTCTTCTTCTTCTTTTAAACTCTGAGTAACATTTACTTTACCTGTTTGGCTGTCTGTGATGCATAAGCTGCTCCCATGTCTTGGCTGATGAGAACATGGGAGTGCAGGTACCTCTTCAAGACAGTGGCTTTATTTCCTTTGGATATATACCTAGAAGTAGGATATTGCTAGATTCTAGAGAACAGTTCTAGTTTTAATTTTTTGAGGAACCTAC